TAGGGTTCTATTAAAACATGAATATAGTGAGGACACTTATATACCAATAGACCCCCCTCCCACACACAAACCCCCAGTCTGGTTTGCAGGTCAGGGGAGAATCAACTGAGGAAGTGACATTTGAGCAGAGTGAGTGGAGGAAGTAGGTGAAGGGGTTATAAAGGACAGTCAGCTAAACAAAACAGTATATAAGGGGACCAAAGCCAGGAAGGCACCCAGCATTTTTGCAGAATTGAAAAAGTAGTAGGGAATTGGAGGAGAGAGAATAGGGCAGAAGTGTAAAAAATGAAATGAAACTGGCAAGGAAAAGGAGTCACATCAGGTAGGTCTTTATAGACTGTATTTAGAAATTTTACCTTTTACTGAAACGCTGCTGAAAGGGTTTAAGTGTAGGGCTAATGTAATGAGATAGAACTTTTCATAAACTACCCTGGACTGGGGAGGGTGGAGGCCATGAAAGGATATCAGATGACAGTAACTTGAATGGAACAGTGATTGAGGATTGGGAACAAATGATGAAATTGAGAGCTCTTTAAGAATCAAAATCAGGGGCCTCTCTAGTGTTGCAAGGGGTTAAAACACTGTGTAGCTGTCCACGGCCATTGCAGCACAAGTTCAATCCCTGACCAGGGAACTGACCCACATGGCACAGCAGACCTCTCCTGTCTCGCCCATTGCTCCCCTCAGCAGTGTACTTTGTCAGTCTGCCTGTCCTGCTCCCCATTCTACCTGTGGTGAATCCTCTCACTGCCCCTGCACCTCTGTCCTGTACCCCAGTTCTGTATGCATAAACAAATAATTCTTTAAAAAAAAATGTTAGGACTCCATTACAACACAGTCTTGCTAGAAAGTTTAAATTGTACCCTGCAAATTCCTTAAAACTTCATATTATGTATTGAGTTTGCAAAGGTGGGAGACCATCCCTCAAACTCAGTCCATAAAGGATGCTATTTTTGCATCAAAATACTTAAAAGTCTGAGACTTTTCCTTCCATCTTGATAAACATAAGCTGTCCAGAATTCAATTTTTATCTAGCCTTTCACCTCTTCTACTCATTATTAGTAAGATAACTGAAATTCCAGTTCAGCTGCTATATATCTTAATAAATTTTATTAACCTTACCAAATTCTTATTTCTAGTAGGCTCTTACTTATCTGATATTGCTATTTTTCTGTATATCTGTGGACTACCAGGGCTAGAGAGCTTTTATTGAAATCCCGTAAGTTTAAAAATGAAGAAAATGAGATCTAAGGTAAACAGTGCCTGAGTCTACATAGGGAGTGGGGGGCACAGCTGGGCTAAGCCTCCAGTCCTCTTGCCCTGCATCTTAGTATCTTCTGGCTGCCTTTAACCATGACTTTGCGTTTTTTTCTCAGAATTCTGAAGTTTTCTGCATTTAATTTTAAAAGAAATCCACTAATTGCACATTAGTTTCTCCTAAATGGAATTATTGCACTTAATTTTTTTCTGGGAAGCCTTAATGGAGAAAAGAACTACTTAAGGAGAGACTGTTATTCTAGTTTCCATTCCAGAGGTATAGTAAGCAACTTTGGGTATGCTTTCTGTCCTCCAATTAATGGTGGCAGGAGACCCAGCATGCTTTAGTTCTCCTTGTTGAACATTTCTTTCTGTTAAAAAAAAAAAGTAGTATTTATTCAACAGTATAATTAGAACTAGACAAGAATATAATTTTTAATACTTAATTAAGCTTTTTATAAGTTTTTAATACCTTAATATAAAATTTTTTATTAAACAACTTCTGTATGTACTGGTAATTTCTTTCAAAACTCTGATCTTTAATCATGATGTAATGCTTTTAACATGAATACTAGAGAGTGTTTGATTGTGACTTCATAAAGAAAAACACATTGTGGAATTAAACTCAAGCGAAATGGCCTTTGGGGATATAGACTCAGCTACTAAGGAAGACCAGATTCTGGTTTCCATTCCAGAGGTGTACTAAGCAACTCTGAGTACACTCTATTGGTGTAAACATAACAGAAGTTTATTTCTTGAGAGACTAAGCAATCACTAAAGATTTGGTTTGAGGAACCTAGATCCCTTTGTCTTGTGAGTCAATGCCCCTGTCTACATGGTTGAAGGTAGCTCACCAGTTCTGGGCACCCATCAACAGCAAGAAGGAAGACAAGATAGAGGAGGACATAGTCATTCTATTTAGGATTATATCCAAAATGCATTACGTCTCATTTCTCTTTGGCTGGAACTTGGTCACAAGGCTGTGCCTCCCTGCAGAGGAGGCTGGAAAATATCTTTAGCTGGGCAGCCATTTTCCCAACTAAAATTTAGTTAAGAAATGTATTACTGAAGAAAGAAGGGACAATGGAATTCAACTAACAGTTTCTGTACTTGTAAGCAATTATTATGTCGTAAATAACAGAGAAGTTTCATCATTTGCAGTTGTTATGCCAGATAAACCTATCTTTAGATATGAGAAGACCAGACCATGTGGACGAATACAGGGGTTTGTCACTCAACTTATTAGTTAAATTTATTTTAATTTACTTTTATTTATTAAATTATTAAAATCCAATGAATGACAAGTGATTTAGAAAAATCTAAAAGTAGTCGTTCTAAAGTTCTATGCAGATAACATGAAAGAAGACTCTGCTACCTCAGAGCTCATGAGAGTTTTGACCTTCTAGGGCCCATGCTTAAGGAAGAAGAGTAGAACAGCAGATTTACGACTACTTGACTTAGCAGCAGAAAGGTGTTGGAGTTGAAAGATGGACAGAGTCATCTGCCTTTTGAGGAAAGGACAATTAAAACGGACTGCAGAGGCTCACCAGCATTCTTTGCCAGAGGTTCTAATTGAGACAGGTTGCAGATAACCCAGGGGATCACACACTACAAACTCCAGTGACAGGAAGGCTGTCGCATCATAGCCCATGAGGCACCAGAGGAAAACAAAGCAGGAAATGAATGAGAGGGCAGGAAAAGAAGCCAGGATGTTTGTTGTCTGTGGCCCTAGATCAAGGGCATTAGCACAGCAAGGTGAGGAGGACTCAAGAATGGCAGCCATCATGCAGGAAAGTGCTGTTTGAATCTGGAGAAATTATAGCCATAACAACCCAGGACCAAAGTGTACTCTTAGCAGACTGAAGGCCTTTAGTTCCTTGTGGGTTTTATCAGTGAGAATTCTGCCCTGGGATTGACAAAAATCTGCTCTATTAATTGACCTCTTAAACTTTTTTAAAACTAAGTTATTTCAATATCACTAATCGTTTAAAAAACAGTGCATATATAAGACACCTTAGCACCGGAATGTAAGTATTGTTGGCATGAGTGTTCTCATCTTTATAAGAAATATCTTATTCATCTTACACTGAAGATGACTTTTTCTCATCTTTATGTGTCAGTACATACTGCTTGAGCTTCAGCAGCAGGAATATAGATTTCCTCCACTATATCTAAGTGGTGCCTTAGTGAAAAAGAAATGCTTATAGAAAGACGAAGCTATATTAATGAAGATTCAAGCACCAGAGCTGTAGAAATTTTGGAATTATGTTATAGAACAATAATGGTCTTGAAAGATGAGCTGACTTAAAGGCCTGAGGTCATAATCTATCAATAATAATGATGATGATGATGATGATGAACATGATAATGATATTCTATATATTTAGCACTTTATAAATTATAAAACTTTAATTATACATTGATTTAATTGTAATAAAAATGAAATAAAGTGGACTCTTTTACAGATTTGAACAAGTAGAATTAGAAACCAGTAAGATTCTGTAATTTTTCTAAAAAAATTACAAAATATCATGAAAGGAAATATTAAATGCCATTGTTTCCCTGCCCAGGGCTCTTTCCCTACCTTTTCTGTGCTTTGTGTAATCTCATGAGTTTTTTCATTTGTTCAGATATTCATTCAAGAACTGTTTTTTTTTTTAAAGTTTTATTTATTTATGAAGACAAGAACTGGGGTGTGGGGGGAGATGTGAGGATTCACCAGAGACAGAGTGGAGAGCAGAACAAGCAGATCTTCTGAAATCCACTGCTGAAGGGAGCAGCAGGTGAGACAGGAGAGGTCTGCTGCACCATGTGGGTCACCTTCCTGGCTGGGGATGGAGCTCATGTTGCAGTGACTGCAGATAGCTTCATAGTGCTGAGACTTAACCCCTTGCACCACCAGGGAGGTTCCAAAAACTATTGCACACCTGCTTTATGGCAGTCATGCCAGGCACTAAGAACACTGCTTGAAAAGACATAGTCTCAGCTTTCTCAGCATGTGTATGGTCTAGCAAAGGACAAATGTGTGTCACCCTCACACTGTTTCACAATAGTTGTGAATATTGTGCAACAATGAGGTGTCTGCTACTATAGCAGCAATAAAGCAGGCTGACAGGGCATATGAGAAAGCTTTCTAGCAAGCCAAGGGTCAGGGAAAGCATCCCAGCGTATGGATGTTTACATTAAGTCTCCAGTTGAGTTTCCAATGTTGGAGTAAAGAATACTCCAAGTCAGACAAATAAATCCTATATAAAGTCACTCTTGAGGGAAGGTTACCCTTGATCAGGTCCAGTAGGGAAATACCCAACGGATTTACAAACTCAACTGTGGTTATAACTTCCTCTTTTTTGGCTATTTAGAGACATCACCTATTCATCCATCCCCTTATCTTTTCCTTCCTTTCTGGCAACCACCCATCCATCCACCCGTAGTAGGCACCAAGATATTTATTGAATTGATTAATTTTCAATACATTTCTTGAGAAACATAGTATGTGCCAGTCACTGTGCCAAGTTATTTAGAGGGTATAAAGATGCCCTCGTGACATGATAAACCTGTGCAGTATTATTATAGTACAGGCTGGGTAGAGCCGGTGTCCTAAGAGGTACCCAAAGAATGTGGGGATGTTATGTGAAGGGAAATCTAAGTTTCAGCCATAAAATAAGCAGACCAAATGAGACTGAACATTTGCTATTTTCAGGTGTCTGTTTGCTTATTTTTTTAATTTTGTTTTGTTTCCATAGATTCTGTGGCCACAGCATCGGGGCCATTACTAGTTGAAGTTGCCAAAACTCCTGGTGCCAGCCTTGGGGTTGCCCTGACTACCTCGATGTGCTGTAACAAGCAGGTCATTGTCATAGACAAAATCAAATCTGCAAGTATTGCAGACAGGTGAGTGCTGGAAAAAGTGCCTTCTCCTTAAAATTGTGTGTGATATGCCTTTTGTAGCAACATGGATGGAGCTGGAAGGGATCATGCTTAGTGAAATAAGCCAGAAAGAAAAGGAAAAATACCGGATGGGTTCACTCATAGCAGGAGTATAAAGGACCAGACGAGAAAATAATGATAATAATGAACAACTACATACCCAAGACATTTTCTGGGGGTGGAATGGGGAATGGGATCAAAAATAGTTGGGGGAGGGAAGTGCACTTGACTATGGTGTTGGCACATGGGTGAATTGGTGATGGGAAGCCCACGGGCATTACAACTGAGATGGGAAAAGGCACAAAATGGTGTAAAAATAAACTATGAGATAATTTTTGAAAAACTGCATGTTATGAAAAGTATTATATACACACATGTAACATGCACACATATACAATTGTACATGCACACACACACACACACACTCAAAACAGTGTCCTTCTAGTTTATACAAGTATTATACAGGGAAGCAAGTTCAGGGCTTAAAAACTCACCTATCCTAGAATCACCCCATCATGTAATGTGTCTCACCCAGACATCACAGCCTTTAGCAATTGGGGCGGGAAAATCAAGTATCTGAACAAATTTCCTACATCTCCCAGGGTAACAGACTTCTCTTAGTGTAGGGAAGCTGGGCAGTTACTATGTTTGATAAAGAGATATCATGGGTTTTCCTGAATTGTTGACAATGAAATCCTGCCACTGTAAAACTTACTCTTTTCTTCCTGTTTAAAAAAGTCAAATTTTTAAAATTATGCAGATTTAAAGAAAGGCTCTGTGCTGTCATGGGTTGCTACACTTAAGAATTTACAATCTCCAAGGGTCCTGAAAACATCATTCATTCCTGTGTCACCATGAAAACAAAAGTCCTTTTTTCTGTTTTCCTAATTAATATTTTAAGCTCAGGAGGTAGCTTTGCAGGTTAGGAAAATCACCCTCAACATTATCTTACAACTCCTGACTGGAAAACTCCCACCTCCCATAACTGAAGCATTTGTGGTGCATTTGTAGAGAGTTAAGTTTTAAAATGGAGAGGATTACTTGAAATGCTTTGGTCCTGAGAAGCAGACCATTCTCACTCTGGAAATTCCAAGATATACATGAGTGGCTAGTGAGCCCTGCATGCGGCCAGCTCTCTTCGCCATGTGCTCTTAGCCTGCGTGCTGCAGTGACCTGCAGCCTGCCTGCTTGTGGTCAGTCTTCAACTCCACAGTGCTTTTACCCTACATCTGGGGCTTCCATAGTATTTATTGGCCATTGGCCCAAGGGTATTCCCAATTCAATGGTGCCGGTTGCCTTAATTTTCTTCCTCTGTTTTGTTCCCACTCCACAGAGGGTATCCAGTTTAAGGAGCTTTCCACTTGCCTGGTACGTGGGGATGCTGACTGCTGTGTCTGCTTTTCTCAACTCATCCAGTAGCCAGTTTCTTGAGTTGAGCCAGCTATAGCAGCTCACCCCTCCCCCACCCCAGTGCTCGCCTTCACTCACCCTTGCAGGCCTGATTTTAGTGCTAGTTTGACTCCTGCATAATTGCCATCATCATCAGAGCTTCTTGTACTAATAAACATTTAATGCCAGAATAACAAACTCGAATACAATAAATAAAGAACTAGAGATACGGATGTTGTGTTGAAGATTCTGAGAAGGCATTAGCTGAATGTCCCCCAAGTTACTCTTACTATATAAAATAGTTGCAGATAACCCTATCCTACTTCTCTAAGACACATTTTGACATTCTGAAGATTTACCCCACCATATGTAAACATAAAAATCTAGGAGGTAAAAAATCACAGGAAAAAGTCAAGGAGAAAGCTAGTTTCCGGTTCAACCCTCCCCTCCTGCCTGTTTCCCCTCAACTTTCCACACCACCTGCCAAAGGTCATCTTTTCTTAGAAAGACAAGAGAAAAAACATTTCCTTACATTTTTCTGTGTGTTCTACAAGGTTTGACATCCCTATTCATAGCCACGGTACTTAACACATAACAGATGATGTTTCCTGTAACGCTCAAATTTTTCCCTTTTTTTTTTAAAGAAAAGAAAAAGGGTGGAAATTTTTTTTTAAAGATTTATTTATTTATGCATACAGAACTGGGGTACAGGCCAGAGATGCGGAGGGTGAGAGGCTTCACCAGAGACAGAGTGGGGAGCAGAACAGGCAGATCGACGAAGTACGCTGCTGAGGGGAGCAGCGGGCGGGTCAGGAGAGGTCTGCCACGCCATGTGGTCACCTCCGGGGCAGGCGGGAGTCGAACTCATGCGGAAGCCGTCTTAGCTTCTCAGTGCTGTGCTTTAACCCGCTGCGCCACCAGGGAGGGCCAGTGTTGGAATTTTTAACGGTGAAGGACATGAGTGTCGTTTCCAAAGGGGAAGGTGTGTCCCAGCACTCTGTCTCTCCTTCCTGTAGGTGCGGCGCGCTGCATGTGGGGGACCACATCCTGTCCATCGACGGGACCAGCATGGAGTACTGCACGCTGGCTGAGGCCACCCAGTTCCTGGCTAACACCACTGACCAGGTCAAGCTCGAGATTCTTCCTCATCATCAGACCCGCCTGGCTCTAAAGGGACCTGACCATGGTGAGAGCGTCTTTCTGGCTAACTCTGTATCTTCCCCTTGCAGTGACTGCTTCCTGCAGCTGAGTTAGAAAGCAGAAAGACATCAAATTTAATTTGCCTTTATCATTTCTTTTCAAAACAGCAGGTTATCTTTGTTTACTCTGCTTCATCTTCCAAATACCACTTTATAAGCCACAGGCACTGTATGTGAAATTCCCAAATAAAGGAAAGAAATAATGAGAACGTTTCAGAGAATTTTAGCTATTTAAATTTTTGTAAGCCTTTGGTGCAGATTCAATGTGGAAGAGAAGGGGAATAATTTGACTTCCTATTTTTCCTATTGAATTTCCACTCTATTTGCAGTGAGTACTGCAAATAGAGTAAGTACTTGGATGAAGGCAAATAATAAAATCCTTGCTTTTAAAATACAAACTTAAAAAGTGGAGATTAATAGCAAACCCTTGAAACATTTTAGGAGAAAAATAGTTGTATGAAAAGTTAGCATTCTCTGTAGTTTGTTAGCCAGAAGAGGGATTTTTTTTTTCACCTTTGTGACCAAAAATCTTCCATAGAAGAATCAGAATGTTTTGCTGTATTTATGCAATAACAAGTGTTGACTGAGGGGATTTGTGCTGTACTGTGTTGAAGCTCACAGACGTGCTTTAAATGAAACTGAGTACGAGAAAATGGACTTGAAGCCCAAAATCAACTGAAAAAAAGGGCTCTCCAGAGAACATTTGGTTCCAACTTCTCTTCCATCCTTTTCCTTAAACCCAGTGCCGTCCTTTTCAATTCCTTGAATTCACTTCCTTGAGGCCTCACTAGTACTGCCAGGGGGGCCCCAAGAGGAGGAGAGCACATTTCCATGTTTCCAGAGAGAGAACAATTTTCTCTAGAATCGAAATTTTGCTTCTAAGCCTGCCATTTGCATCATGTATCGCTCACCTTCTAAAACACACTGCACTTTTCCACAGTTTGAGAAAAAACAAGAGAGACCAGATAATTTTCATCCTGAATGAGTCAGCTAGATGCAACCTTTTTAATTAAATGGAGCTTAGACAGCCCTGGAGCTAATGAGAATCTCTAGTACAGCATTACCTTTTATCAGATTTTAATTTTACACAATGGAGCAGAGAACTGGCACAGCATCGACAGGTTATGAAAAGAAATCCAGCTTCATTTGAGTAGCAAATGATAAGGAGCTACAGGAGGGTGAAGCCCCTGGGGACACAGGGATCCTCACACTCTCCCTGAGAGCCGAGATTTCTAAAATTTCAAGTTTCTCCTAAATAAATTTGAAGTTGTCATTGAGTCCAGGGCACAGGAGGTATAAGAATACGGACCATGTAATGCTTTCTCAGAATGTGATTTTTCTTGGCAAATTCTAGCACAGTGAGTCAGAAATATGGAATAGACCTTAAAAATGTTAGCAGCCTCATGCCACCCCCTTTATTCGTCCTGTACACAGATAATAGTTCAAATGATTCCAATTTATGAAATATTAAATACTTTCACCTGCCAGCACAAGTCAAGCTAATTTATATACCAAACATGTGAAGACCAAGAACAAGCTCTTTTGCTTGTCTGTGGGAAGACCAATGTGTGATCATTTTGACAGGTGTGGTCTAGTGATGTAAGTAATTCTAGCTTGCACTTCTGACCCTATCATATTCTTTTCCCACAAGAAAGATTTTTTAAAGATCTCTGATGCCTGAAAAGCTTGCCTTCCATCTCAGGGGTAGGTGGAGAGGCACTTCTCGAATTTTGCTTAGCCACAAAGCATCCACCATGGTGTTTTCAGGGAAATGGAGACTCTAGGAATAAGAAAATAACTGTGCCTTTTGCTGGTAAATAGCAGGTCTTAAAAAGCCAACAAGAATGAGGTCTTAATGAGGTGAGCAGTTGTTCCCACTGAGGGTCTTTGAGAGACATCATCATGACCCTCAGTGATTGGAGGAAATTGAAAATGGAAGAGAAAATCTTAAGCTGAGTCATGAGCATTGGGTACATTTCAGGGCAATGGACACCCTAACTTGTGAGCTCCAAGAGTAACCACCAAAGCATCTGTTGCCTAAGGCCACAGGCAGCTGGGATGGGTAAAAGGTCTCAACTAGCAGAACAAGTCAGGTACCCTCCACATCAGATCAGATTCCACTGAAACTTCACCAGTGATGTCTGCATGGACTGATAAAATGCGAAGAGCATTTTATCTGAACTCACTGTTTACATTTTATATTTTATAATCTATTATATAGTATGAATTTACATTCTTTGGGCAGGTGAGGGTCTAGTCATTTAAGTAATTCTAGCCTGCACTTTTGATTCTATCATACTCTTTCCCACAGAAAGTTATTCATATGAATATATTAAAAAGTTAGTCATATAAATATTAATATATAAATATGACCCATTTATAAATGTATTTAAATACCTTTATAAATAAGTTATAAAGTATAAGTATATAATATATATGCACATGTTTTATATCACGCGCACATGTAATATGATCTCAATATAAATGTGTGATTTATATGTAAATATATTTATATTTCAACTTAACCTGTAGCAAGCACAGGAAGAGGCTTCTGTAACGTGGTAATAAAGGGCAGAGACTCCAGAGTAAGGTTCTGGAGCTTTAATTCTGGCTCCACCACTTAAGCAAATTACCCAACTTTTCTATGCCTCAGTTCCTTCATCTGTAAAATGGGCAATATCATAACACCTATTTCATTGGTATATTGTGATCATCATCTGAGAAAATGCACATAAAAACACATAGCACAGTGCCTAGTGCATATCGAGTGCTCAATGAAAATTGGGACCATTAAGTGAAAGAACTTTTGCCAACTTTTGGCATAGTATGCCAAAAATGTAACATCTTTTTTTTTTTTAACTGCTAAAGTACTGGCCTAATGCATGACTAAAGACCAAATTCTGAAAAAGAATGATAGAAAGGCAGGGCTATCAGATGTCAGGATTTTTTATAAACCTACCGCATGAGTGACACAGATCCTACCATAAAGCAACAGATTTGGAATATACGTCCAAAATAGGCAGTAGCTGTCTTTGCTGGGTTATATTATTTGTTGGATATCTTTTGTATTCATTATCCAAAGTATATGCAATGCACTTTTGTTCATTATCTTACATTATTTTTGTGTCTTAATTACTTCATGTATGGAGAGTTTAGTCCCCTATAATAATTCAAAGTCAAGGTAAAGGTTAGGACCACATTTAACCTGCCTGGAATAATTGATATAGTGCTGGGTACAGAATAAGGGCCAGTCATATCTTCCTTTCAGATATATGTATTGGGCTTGACCATCCTACAAAATGCCCAGTAATTTGCAAAACACTCCATAAAGAACCAGGTCAAAATGTGAATATAGAATTCTGAAGTCCATTCACAATGCTTCCTTTGAAACATCGACAATACTTTGTAAAGGGTACAAAGAGTAGTTGTAGATTAGCCAGATCCAATAATGAATGCATTTGCTAAAAGGTCATCTTGCTCACCACAAAGTAGAAGGGGGATAGTGAGGGATAACTCTCTCGGGTGTTTCTCTGCAACAATTTATATCATGAGGAAAATGCTGCTGCCGTGTGGATATGGGCACTCTGGCTGATATTCCTACTCATTTATGCATTCATTTGTTCTGTTTTGGTTTATTTGGTTCATCAGTTATGTACTAGGCACTGTCCTTGTTCCTGTGGTGCATCTAGAAAATGAGCCAGTGTAGAACCCTATTCTTATGTAATTTACATTCTAGTATAAAGAGGCATGCATTAGAAATGCCCCTAAGTATGTAGAACCCTATTCTTATGTAATTTACATTCTAGTATAAAGAGGAGTACATTAGAAATGCCCCTAAGTAAGTAAAGCCATTTCAGAGAGTAATAATGCCATGAAGAATATAAAACAGGAATGGGATAGCGCAGCCAGTAAGCCAGAACAATCTCTCTGAGGAGGTGACACTTGATCTGAGGCGTGAATGAAGAAAAAGAACCAGATATGCAGGAAAAATACTAGAAGCAGCAGCAAGAACAGCTTGTGCAAATGCCCTGAGGCAGGAAGCCGACTTTCTAAACAGACATAATAAGATCAATATGACTAAAACAATCTGTGATAGAAAGAGACTTAGAAGAGATAATTAGGGGGTCACACTGGATTCTTTTTGTAATTGTACCCAGTTGAAGTAGTATGACATAATCTAACCTAAATATTTAAAAGGTCCTCCTCACTGTGTTTTTCACAATGGAAGGTGTATGTATCAGACATGAATCAGGGACCCAAGTCTAAAAGTGGTGCAGTAATCTAGGTGAGGGAGTTGGTGGCTTGAATCTAAAATTTTAGAAACACAGATAGAACCCAAAAAGAAGCAGCAGTGGAGGAAAGGGGACAGGCTTGATCGTTTGGGGTTACAAAGTTATGGTGGCTGCTATGTCATTATTCTGCAGAGTTCTACAATATTCTCTAAGAGTGAAATTTCTTAAGAGATACATCTATAGCCTATAAAAGGTTGTTTGTAGACAAGTAGCTGGAGAGTAGGCAGACTCAGCATTATTAATAGTAGCTCAGTTGTTTGCATTCAGTGTGCCAGCAACCTGGTGCTAAGCACCTTGTGTACATAATTGTCACAGTCATCCTAGGTAGTAGATGCTATCATGATTTCCATTTGACAGCTTAGAAAGGCCCAGTGACTAGTCAGGGTCTTACAGAGAGCCAGAGCTCAGCTGGCAGTGAAAATCCATGCTAATACTTTGTTCCACAGACTAGCTCATTCCAGAAAGAATGTGAAGTGGCCAGTGACTGAATCACATCTCATACAACTTCAGCTCTATCTAACTGACCCTCCTTTGAATAGAGTACTTGACCTCCCTATATGAGTCAGTACCTTTAAACACTCATGCAACGCCTCTAACATTGTGATCACAACAGTGGAAGGAGCTAAGATCATATGTTATTTTTAAGTCTTTAAGATTGTTCAGTGAAAATTCTTTATCAAAGTTAACATAGTATGACTCATACTTCAGAATACTAGATAGAAAATCAAATCTAAACAATAGTCAAATTCCATGTCATGAAACATTTAGTTTTTTAATGTTTTAATTTATTAAAAATGTATGCATAGAATAATATAAATAGAGGGCTTCATTCCCACACAAATTTGCTGTGACTATGTTTTCTGAGTTCCAACTATAGTTTCAATATCATTTTTAAAAAATAAATGGATAAAAGATGAACATACTGAAAATAGAATAGAAATATGGTCTATATTTATTCTTAGATAAAAGGGACAGCAAAAATTTGAAATATGAAAATTTTGTCATATAAAGAGCTAAAAATAAGTAAAAATGTTTTAAGAATTAAATATTTCTTTCAAATGTAAATGCATTTTTCAAAAACAACCCCAAAAGTATAAAATAGTGAGACTTTTATCATCTTCTCATTAGGATACAGATAGGATTTTGATATTGATAGATGATTAGAACAGCTTATTATTGAGGAAGTCAAGTCCAAGTGATGAATCGTGGTGTAATTAAAATGTCACAGCAGTAAATTGTGATGTGTGACTGGTTAACCATTTGAATTGTAAGCCAACATGATTTATTATCCCTTCTTTTCTTTTCCTCAAAACAAGCGCTTCTAACTGGCCAAGATTTGCAAATTTTTAATTACTAATTGTGTGCCATAGATCTTTATGAGGTTGACTTTTAAGTTAAAAAAATGTTTTTAATCTCTGCTGTGAAGCTCAGGGGAGATTAGAAATTGATTCACTAGTCATTTTAAAAGGAGAAAAAAAATGGACTGGGGAAGGATATGCATTATTCTTGGGGAGATGAAAAGTTTCCACCCCTAATGTTAATCATCTGTTTTGCTGACCACTGAAAAGGGCAAAGCCAGTGATTTCTTTTTCTTTACCAGCAGCTTTCATTTTGTTTCACTTTTAATTTGTGCAATTCAGTTACTTTTTCCTCTTTTTTTTTTTTTTTTGGTTCTCTGTTTTTCTTATTTCTCATCATCACTTCATATGGGCAGTGAAAATTCAGAGGAGCGACAGGCAGCCCACCTGGGATTTCTGGGCCAGCAACCACTGCAGCCTCCACACCTACCATCACTTTAACACGCACCACCCAGATCACTGCAGAGTGCCAGCCCTGCCCGTCCCGAAAGCGCCTCCTCCAAACAGCCCTCGTAATGTTCCAGGCTTTCTCCTCCTGGTCTCTTATTTAGAATATATTCTCATTCCTTCCTCCTCTAATTCATACTGTATTCATCTTCATGGGTATTGTGTGTGTGTGTGTGTTTTGTTTGTTTTTTAGGTTTTGTTTTTTTATTTTTTTATTTATTTATTTTTTCTTTTTGGTAGTAGCAACTTACCATTTTGACATCTCCTAAGTCTTGCTTTGCTATCAGAGAGCTTTTGTTGTTAGGAAAGGAAGTAAGTGTTCAGAATGTTTTATATGTGGTCAGGAAATAGCAACTCAGAATACTGTAGAGCACAGTATTCACAGAACTTCTTTGTGGATGTGAAATCACTTGTAAAATTCATGTCAGAAAGTAGCTATGAAAGTGAGACTGTACCTGGTACATGAAGTTGTTATTGATGGAGAAACTTGTTTAATGTTTGCTTGTTTGTTGCTAAAACCACATTCAGAGCCTCTCAGTGCCCCACTGCGCTTATGAGGATCTTGCTGTCCTCAGCAGGGGCAGGCTCTTGTGACTCCGATTGCTGTCTCTGCGACTCCTGAGTCCTGGTCTCTGTGGCTGGGTGGACACCAGCCTTTGCTCCACATCATGTGTGTCTTGTACTGTTGCTGGCTGGCAGTGTTGGCAGGCTCACGTCCCTCCTTAGAATGCTCTGTGCCAAGTCTTCGCTCTCTTACAGCGGCTTTGGTGTCTTCATCCTTCTCTCCTACCTCCATGAGTGCATACAGCCTGAGTTCCCTGAACATGGGGACTTTACCTCGAAGCCTCTACTCCACTAGCCCCCGTGGAACCATGATGAGGAGGAGACTGAAAAAGAAAGACTTCAAAAGCTCACGTAAGTGGAACATTAGTTGGTCGCTTTTGCCTGGAGGAAACATGTGGGCCTATTGGAGGCTTTGACAAACCAAATCCTATAGAAGGAATAGGTTCCTATGCCAAGCGACAAGGTAGCTGTTGAGTAGCTCTCCACTATGCCCAAGCCTGCCATTGTCTAGTTGGTAATGACTGCAGAGCATACAGTTTCAGACTGAATTTGTTCAGACTGTCTTGCCTATAATATATTTGAATTTTTTTCTTGCTCTTTTGAGCTGATGCAATAAGCAATCATCTGACTTTTCCTTTGAAACACCTTCCTTGTAATCTGATGGCTTGGGACATAAAAGAGTTTGTTCCTAGTTTCTTATTCATGTTAGAGCAATTTTTAAAAACTGTCTCCCCCCTTCTGATATATATACCAGAATATATATAAATATATATTCATCTACATGAATCTTATTCATTGTTTAATATTATTACAAAGTTTCATAGTAAATCATATTTCATCACCCCCCCCCAAAAGTAGGCATGAGATGTTTGAGCACACCTTTTCAAACTATCTCACTCACTAGGATTTCAGTACTCTCCCCCAAATACCTACCCGACTGAAAATCACTGGTCCTAACAGTGGAAGATTAGGAAGATTGTAAGGATGCCTGTTGTAAAGACCAGAAACCCAAAGTCTAGGAGCTCTTTATTCTGAAAGTCTGATCTGTGGGAACAGCAAAGCAGTAGGTATTAGGAAGATGTAATTAGCTACTTACTTTTAGATTGAAGGCTTTGTGTATAAAGAAAAAAGGAAAAGAGACAAAATCAGTCACTCCTAAATTGTTTCTGGTAGAGAAGATCATAATCTATCATCATGATGACATGTTTTGAAGGAAAAGAATGACTCCTTATCCAATCAGATCTAATCATAGTCTATAGAGGTTTAACTGCATCTCATCTTGGATGTCCCATTCATTGGTGTGGATTATGATTCCCAAATAAAACAAACCCAGATACTTCAGGGCTGGTAGTGAAGAATGTTCTGTGAAAATGGGAGGTTGGTCCTATTGACGCTTCACCTTGACAGAAATTCATCTTCACAAGTAGATCCATCACCTTTTCCACCAATGCCACCACTGTTAGGAGACCAGCTGTTGCCCACACTGGGAAGTGGTCTCCTCATATTATAGAAACTAAAGACTCCCTTCCAAAGAAAAAATCACTGAAAAAAATAGAGCTACCACTCTGGTATATTTGTTTGGGTTTACATGTCCCTTCAAAATAAGGAGATTTGTTATCTGTAGTATATGAACATGACAGTACATGTTGAACTTAAGAAAATAAAAGGTTGAATTTAGTCAAATGAGGACTAGGAACTTCTAGATTGATTCTCTGATGCTTTTTAGCTCATCGTAGAGTAAATCATTAACTCTTACACTAATTGCTATTGTTTTTTCATTGAGGCGATGTTGGTTTACAACACTGTGTATGACTCAGAGGTACAGAATCACCCTCTTCAGTTGTATGTTACTATACTCGAGAAGTTAATTTAATTTGATATGGTGGAACTGGTCTGAGCACAGACTGAAACAGCTTCCTGGGTTCTCATCCCAGTACCACTGCTTTCCAGCTGTCAACCTGGACAGGTTTCTTAAACTCCTGATACCTTGGCCTCATTAGCTACAAAGCAGGATACTTATAATACTTCACTGGGTAGTTGCAAAGATTATATAAGAAAATAAATATACTTTCACCACTTAAAGGGACATATAGGAGACAAGAACCACGTTCTAGACTATGTTCAGAATATGTCAGAATATAGTCTAGAATGTGGCTCTGTATATGTGTGTGTGTATACATATATTGCCCAATAAACATAAATATATATATTTATGAACATAAGTATATATATATATATATATACACACACACAGAGAGAGAAACAACATATAATAGATATTAAACTCTTGCTAGCTATTTTGAACAATTTATGTGCTATTATTATTCCTGAAACTGTATTGTCATGTGTGAAAACCTGTTGACTTTGCTCTCAAATTTAGGTATTTTCCACAATGTTACACTTTGGTATAATGCATGGGTCTTCAGCCTCCCATATAATGCCTTCAAGGTTTGTGGTTGATGTTTGTAGATGGAATTTTTTTACACATAATGATTCCCCATGCAAATTCATCGTTGACAGGAGCGCCTAACAACTCTCAGCAGGGAAGAGCAATTAAGAGAAATTCATTAATGTTTGTATTATACTTCTGCTTCAATGAGTAAACATTTGTTTGTGTTAGGGGAGACTTGCGATGTTGATTAAGGACATTAGTGAACACAAATGATTGATAGGTTGTTTGGCCATCTCAGGTTGATATTACACGTCTTGGGGTTTGTCAGAGAGAACAGAGCTGAGGCCACACCGTCGCTGACACTCATACCCAACTAAGAGATTGGCTTTTGAATCAGCAGTCCTTGCCCAGCTTAATAGAGATACAAATAGAAACCCAGTAGAATAAATTTCCTTTCTATTTGTGTTTGCTGTAGACGTTAGCCATAGAGCACCACTGCGTGCAAGCCTACCAGAATATTTACAGAAGATCATGCATTTTGTATTTTTTGTAAGTTTTATTTATTTATGCATACAGAACTGGGGTACAGGCCAGAGGTGCAGAGGCGGTGAGAGGATTCACAAGAGACAGAGTGGGGAGGCTAATCAACGAAGTACACTGCTGAGGGGAGCAGCGTGCAGGTCAGGAGAGGTCTGCTGTGCTATGATGGTCACCTCTAGGGTTTGGGGTCGAATTCGCACTGAAGCAGCTATTGCTAGCTTGCTCTCCTGCGTCCTAACCCGTTGCGCCACCAGGGAAAGCCCTCATTTTATGTTTTAACCCAATACTTTGGTTCAAATAGCTATGAACTTTCAGTCCCAGTTTAAAAACACCAAAACAAATAATGATAGTATTCCAAAATCAGACTACAAATTGAGGATTTAGTCATTACTCTTGCTTGTCCTGGGACTTAAACCTTGTATGGTCACATTAGATGTAAAGGTTTTTCCCAAATAACCGATAGTAAAAGTTTTATTGCCAGTCACACTATACCCACCAAATAAAGTGGTTTATTTCCGCCACTTATTTATGTCTTTATTCTGTGCCACCATTTGTTGCCCTCTTTCTAATACTTATGTTTCCATAGCAACCAGGCCATTGGTATGGATGGTGAAGCATGGCAAAGTCACAAATATAATAAAAAGTCTTTTTGCTATGTTGGTGCTTACTTGATCCCAAAGCCTGCAAAACAGGAGAAAAAAAAATCCTAACATATGTTTCTAGCAGAAAGGGAAGAAGACATGGATCAGAAAAGAATGAAATCTTCCCCCCTAGCTATGAAAGCATTCGGTATCATTGACTAAAGGGAAAAGCAGGAAGCCTATAGCCCATGTTAAGGATTAAAGCAGTCCAGGCCCCTGTTCTGTAGAGAGAATGAGTACCTCCTGCCCAAGCTTGAGCAGTGTCACAAAGACACGGGGGCTTGCAGAGCCATGTCACAGAGGACACCCTCTCGTCACCTTTTCCAGGATCCTGCTGACCTTTAGCCCAGGGTCAGGCTGCTGCTTGTTCTGTGTGGAGCCCAGCTTCCTTCCTGAGCCCCAGCCTCCCCGTGATGGTGACGAGACAGCGTGCCTCTCACTAGCTCCCCTGCTTTCTGTTTCGCTCCTGGAAGCCAGTGTGGATGCTGTCTGAGCCCAGCCGGCCTGAACTGCAGCAGACAGTAGAATGTGGAACACACTTCCAGCATGCGCGGTGCCTCTTTTGCCAACACCACTTACTACTAGGGAAGGCAACACTAAAAAGAGCTGAAAGGGAGAGAATGAGAAAGCTTAACGATGTTTGTCCCTTCCACCTACATCTGAAAAAGAGGAGGAAGATCAAGGCAGCTAATGGTGAGCTTCGTATGTGACCAGGCAAGGAGGCCTTGTAGGGGGGCAGGGAGGCGTTGTAGGGGGAGCAGGCGAACCCCACCGCAGTGTGGTGAAGAGAGCTGAACTAACTCACAGGGTGTACAGTGTGTGGTTACCATGACAGGCCTGGTCAAATAATGACTTAATAGTGACTCAAACTTGGTGTGTTCATAAAACTTTGAAGCCATTGCCCTGTGTACTTTTAACATACTTTCGTATGTGACAATAATCCTCACAACCTTTGACATTCAAAAACATTTGGCAGCTTTTTAAACCTTAGGAGGTAACGAGCTGTCTTTGGCTCCTCCCCCTGACCTCCATCAGGAAAGGCAAGAACTGACAGAACACGGGGTCGTTTCCTAAATACCTCATGGCTGTGTCCAGAGTCCTCCAAATGTGGATGGGTACAGGACAGAGCACAGCAGGGCACATGCCAGTTAGCTTGTCATGGCACCATCAACCCAACCCATCAGCAATGTAGTCTCTCCCGTCTTCACTATGAGGAGAAATGGACACCCCTCAACCCAGAGCCAGGACCCCGCAGGAGTATCTGCTCCTAAAGAGAGAGGCTATC